GCAGTGTGTGTATGGGGACAGTGTTTGTGGGGCAGTGTGTGCATATGGGGGCAGTGTGTGTATGGGGATAGTGTTTGTGGGGCAGTGTGTGTATGGGGATAGTGTTTGTGGGGCAGTGTGTGTATGGGGACAGTGTGTGTATGGGAGACTGTGTATGGGGGGGCAGTGTGTATATGGGGACAATGTTTGTGGGGAAGTGTGTGTATGGGGGCAGTGTGTGTGTATGGGGACAGTGTTTGTGGGGCAGTGTTTGTGGGGCAGTGTGTGTATGGGGGGCAATGTACGTATGGGGACAGTGTTTGTGGGGCAGTGTGTGTATGGGGGGTCAGTGTGTGTATGGGGACGCAGTGTGTGTAATGGGGGCCTTAGTGTGTGTGTAATGGGGGGAGCAGTGTGTGTAATAGGGGGCAGTGTGTGTGGTATGGGGGCAGTGTGTGTGTGTAGTGGGGGGGCAGTGTGTGAGTATGGGGGGCAGTGTGTGTGTAATGGGGGGCAGTGTGTGGTATGGGGGGCAGTGTGTGTGTAGTGGGGGGCAGTGTGTGTAATGGGGGCAGTGTGTGTGAGTAGCCAGGGGGGCAGTGTGTGTGTAATTGGGGGCAGTGTGTTTGTAATGGGGGGCAGTGTGTAGTATGGGGGCAGTGTGTGGTATGGGGGGGCAGTGTGTGTGTAGTGGGGGGAGCAGTGTGTAGCCCAGGCATGGGGGGCAGTGTGTGTAATTGGGGGGGCAGTGTGTGTAATGGGGGGGGAAGGATGCTTTTAAATAATATATATTTTTTTTTTTATAACATAAATATCCTATGTCCCCCCTCCCTTCTTACCTTTACTGGGGAGGAGGGAGGACATATTTCGATCCCTGGTGGTCCCAGTGGGGATTCATTGGTGGTCCAGTGTGGAGAGTGAGCTCTAGCCCGCGCTCCCGGGCTAGAGTTCACTCTCGCGAGATTTGGAGCGTTGCCGTGGTAACCGTGGCAACGCTCCAAATCTCGAGCGAGGAGGACCCGGAGGAGCTGCAGCCTGAGCTCCGGGTCCTCTCTCTCACTCCCTCCCTCCGCCGCCGGCTGTAAGCACGGTGCCTGCGGACCGGGGAGGGAGATCTCTGATCTTCCTCCCCGGTCCGCAGGCACATTGCACGGCTGGCAGGGGAGGGAGACCGGCGGATTTCTCGGGGGGGGCAATTGCCCCGTTGCCCCCCCCCTGGATCCGCCAATGTATAGGAGCCAAATTCAGCAGCAAGGAAGCCCCATACTTGAAGCTGTGATAAATCCACACACAGCCCCAGAACCAGCAAATGTTAAATCAGATAGTGGTGCAAAGAAATGCCAGCACCCTTAGACTGGCTAGCAGGGATATGTTTCTCCAGTATCCTCCGGATAGATCAGTGATGGTCGTCTGCCATTGCTAAGTGGCCCTTGTCAAAGTAACTCAGATTTTTTCGTTTGCCCATTTTTCCTGCTTCCAACACATTAAATTTAAAGGGAAACTCCAGTGCCAGGAAAACAATCAATTTTCCTGGCACTGCAGGTCCCTTCTCCCTCGCACCTCCCAATCCCCGGTTGCTGAATAATACACCCCCAAATAGCCCTGATCCGAGCACCCAAGTTCTCCCAATAGCGCTCAGATCCATGCAGTGTAGGGGAAACGCCATTGTGTTAAAGTTATGACCGGCCGCACACGTGATCCTATTCCCAAAACAGTTCCAGGGCATTTGGTGCTTTGGCCAGTCAACATTCGGGTGCTCCGGCTGACTCTTAGTTAGCGTTTGTTCTCCTTAGTCTCAGGCACCTTCCCTCCAAAAAGCGCTCTCCTGGCGGATTTCAAAGTGGTTCAAAACCACATACCAAGTTTTCCAGGAACTGCACGGTCACCTCATGCTGAAAACCTTTCTATAACATTCGCAGCTAGTTGACTGGGAACCCACAAAGTCCAAAGTGCTGAATTTAGTTCCATAAGGATCGCGGCTAAGTACTGCTGAGGACAATTTATGGGTTTGGTTCATGTGAACGGCCACCAGAGAGCAAGCTTTCGATTACATTCGCATGAAGGGAAAGTGCCGAACCAGGGGCACCCAGGGCAAGCTACTAATGGTGGCTGGGGATGTTTTAACTCCCGAAGAGGGTCTTTGTACATGGTCCATAGTCCTTGTGCAGGAGGCTAGCTAGCAGGCTCCTCCAGGAGCTCGTGGCATTGGCATGTTTACCACAGTATGTTATCACAATGAAAATTGACTCTAAAGTGCCTGTTCAATACTTTCATCATTGATTTACATATGGACTGGATACATTTAGATTTACTCTTTTTATGTATTACTAGGTATTACATATATGGTATGTTCTTTTAAAAAAAATAAATAATGTTTTTTGTTATTATAAAAATATATCTTTTATTTATTTTTTATTTAAAAAGAAAACCAAGGGGGCGGGGCCCGACCGCCATGCTGACCGGTCGCAGGCTGGAGAGGCTCCTGCAGGATCTGGCCTAATCTGGAGGAAAAACCCAAGCTTAAAGCCTGATTCAGAGCCAAGAGACCACCTCTCATGTCCGGGTGGTTGCCGGTGCCACTGTGGTCCCCGAGATCGGGAGTTTTGCAGCCCCAGGGGGAGATGCGAGACTTCGGGGTCTGCGGCCTATGTGGGTTGAGAGCGGGGCGGACGGCCGCCGTCCTGCTTTGGAACCTGGCTGCCGCGCAATAGCCCAATGATGTGTATCACGGGCCCCTGCTTCCCCCCCATGGACCCGGGGGGATATCCCGGTCCTCACTGGAGGGAACCACCGCCTAAGTGACCCACCGAGCACACCTAGCACCCCACATGCTATGCCTGGGCGCCAAAATGGCGGCGACGCGACTGAAGCTGAGAACAGCATCTTCACCCACCTAAAAACAGCTTTGCCCACAAGCAGCATACATGGGCCACGGAGCCCGAACCTGCAGATAAGCGTTGGACCCTCTACAAAGCCCCTGCTTACCCACTCAAGGATCAAGCTTGGTTCCACGGCTGGGCGGGGAATGGGGAGCCCCCAAAGTTGAAACCTCGAGAGCCCGACCAGAAGCAGACACCAAGCGTCAGGAGGATGGAGGAGCAGACAACCACCAACAAATGCAGCAGATCTGCCAATCAATACACCCCAGAGGTCCCAGGCCACAAGACCAGATGAACAGGGCGACATAAACGGCAAAGCTCCAGTGGACTTTTCCAACACGTATGGGTCACCCGATTGACAGTATGCTTTAGGCTCGGTGGATACCAACTCTCTGCATAAAGCATATAGTCTAGGCATAGTTCCTTCCATCTTGACACACTCAGGATTCTGCTTACACTTACTATGACTAGCCCAACCAGTATCTGCCCACTCAACATGCATAGAATTAAGCTAGAACTAAGCGCAGTAACACGAATGCAGACAGCCTAAGTAATTTTATTAAGCGTGTTTAGTCAGTCAGGCAGGCCTAAATGTTTGTTCTCACTTTGCTTCCTTCTCCTAACAAACGTGCACCGCTTGCTTAACAGTTACGTGAACCTCACACGCAGCGATACTCATGTTCGGGTTAATGTATATTGCTTGCCTTACTCACTTGTGAACTGTAATACTTGACATATGTCCTGCTTTCCGCTACCTGCTACCACTCAATAGCTATATATTTTTAAAAACAAAAATTGCATTTCTCAACTGCCATAATTGTGAAGCGTTGTATTACTGAGCTTATCACTGCTATTGTGGCAGAATAAGCCGATATGTTCACTTATGCATCCAAAAATAAAGAATTAAAAAAAAAAAAAAAAAACCAAATAAATAAATATATTCAGAACTGTATTGGCAAGCCTACTAGCAAATGTATAGATGTATATAGATATATTTTTGATCTGGGTCTATAATGTAAAACTGCACTGCATGTATGCTCTACCAAATTGCAAGGCATGATATTTCCCTATTCGTATTTGGGTTTGTTGTTGAGTAAGTTGTTTGATTTATGTTGTCTAGATACGGTTTACTTGCCGACTAGTCACTGACTTGTTGAAACTGCACAAAAGAAGCTGTTACTGTCCTCTATGAATTACCACATGGAATGTAGACTGAGCATCAGACAATCAAATAAACAGCAATATCTCTACTGTTTGATATCGAGGAGATAATATCACATACTGACTGACAGAAATACACAATCCCAAGTCAGTCAAGTATCAAATATTGATTGCTAAATAGGAAATTTTGGTCGGTTTGGAATCTTGGGTAAGAACCATACACTGGACATTTCTACCCTCACCAGTCTCATATCACAAACTCAGTGGCCAGTCACTGAAAAAAAGTGCGTGTTATTACATGCACACAAAATCATCCTAATTATATGTAACCATTTAAAAAATAAATGTATTTAAACTGTTTGTAAAGAAGGTTGCAGCTAGATGGGCAGTATATCGGCCATAGTCATGTGAAAGCGTTTGTGTCAAACTGAAGCTTTTTTTCTTAAAGGCGTTTCCAATATCCGCATCACTATTTTGTATTCTGCAACACCGGCCCGTGTAATTTCTAATGCATGTATTCAAACTGTTTCAGGAGAGGAAGCCATCCATCTTAGGTTTACTGCCAAAATGCTGAAACAAAGCTGAGTTGCAGCAGTCAGCAAAGTAATTTATGGGTCTGATGAAAACACAGAGATCTATCGGAAGAAAGCAAAACAAAATATCATCTAGCTTATGAATGCAAAGAGTATATAATGTAACAAAAAATCCACAGTGAAATGAAGAGAAATGTAATATTTTTTTATGGTTTTGTGATATCAAATGTTCTTTTATATTTTATTAAAGAAACACTGTAGGCACTTTCATCTCATTGAATTGGAGTAACCTGCACAGTCTCTCCATTTAGTGTTAAACCATATTCAAGCAGTTTAGCAATTAAAGAAACACTATAGTCACCCAGACCACTTCAGCTCATTGAAGCGGCCAGGGTGCAGTGTCTCTGTTCCAATACATTGCAAGGCTAAGACTGCCTCTAGTCTTGAGGCACTTCTTGGATCCTAACAGACTACAGGTTGCCTAACTGTTGCTGGACGTCTTCAGACTGTGCATGAGAACATCCAGCATCAGGGACAAGCGGAGGGACATTGGTGCTGAAATTGGTTAAGTAAATACATTTTTTTAAGCTTTTACATGCTGGGGAAGGTGGGGTATCAGAGTGCACTTTCGTGTTCGCAATACAACTTTTTATTCTTAAAACTATAGAATCCCTTCAAATAAGTGTTCCAAGCCACCCCAGTTCCTTCAGGAGATCTGGCTGTGGCAGAGATTATACACTTCATACCAGTAATGGGCGCTATGATAGACAGAAGGCAATTAGTCGTCACTCTTAGCCAATCACAGCTACTCATAGAAGCACAGTCTGGATCCAAGATAGTCAAGATCAAAGCTTCATAGTGTAGGGCAGTGGGAATGTAGTAATTATTGCTGGGCACAGCGTCATAAGAAATCACTAGCCTACCACAAGATCCTCACATTTGAGCTGCAGAAGAATGCCTTGAGCATTACAAATGTTTTTGCTAAAGTTCACGGAACCCGTCTGAGTTTTTTCATATGAGAAATATGTGAAATGTGCATGGAAGAAATCCCACTGTTCACAAAAACTGAGCAGCTTGGAAAAAAAAAATACTTTTTTAAACTAACATTTGTCACACAGAAAGCACACACTCAACTTTTGTACATTCTGTGTGCCACTTCTGAGTTTAGCTACTATCTCTAAATGTTATCGTAAAAATGTGCACTTGTTATTCAGGTTGTTGTAAGCTACAGTATATACCTGGATGCCATCAGCTAATAGGTTAAAGGAGTAAATAAATTAAATAGAAAGCAGCCTTAAACAGTAAGAGAGATCCTGTGTATTACTTTAGTGCCTGGCTGTGTTACAGCCATGTTTTTTTGTTGTTTGGTAGATCTGGGAACTTGCAGTATAGTCCCAATGGCTTCAGGTCTGATCTCAATAATGGGTCTCCATGGCAAACGGCGGTGTTTGCTGTATGATCCCTAGATTGTAAAAGCACTGCTGTTTTTAGTGAGACATGCCTGTTTAGATGAGATCAATAAGATCTTTAAAGTGTAGATTGTTGTTATAACATAGACTATCATTAATCCTTAAACGGTACCTGTCATGACAAATACCACTTAATATTAAATGATAGAGCATCACATGTCATCTATATATTGTACAAGAAGAATTTCTAGCAATTGTCTATATTTCTAGATATCAGAGGTTAAAAAACAGCCTTTTCTCTCTACTGTCAGTCAATTTCAGTCTGTGCTGATCCTGTGCCAATTGGCCCGGAGATAAGAAGGCATTGCTCTGCATGTCTGTTATGCTTTTAGCATCTCTCCTTCCTGAATTCAACCTAAGGGATAGCAATACCTTCCAGGGGAAGTATGGAGAAGGGGCAGGCTCTGTGTGATTACAGGGAAGGGACACAAAGCCAGAATGATTTATTGTTGCAGCTTTGGATTGGTTATATGAGAATGGAGAGACAGAACAGATACGTTGCATTTACAAAGAGCCAACATAAAGTGTTTGCAACTTTTAACCTCTGGCATACCCTTTCCAAACAGGGGTATGCAGTAAAGGTGTGTCTTCCAGCAAGTGTGACATCACTTAACATAAGTGATGCTCTCAGCGGGAGACAGGTTTACTGGAAATAAATTAAAATATGAGCTTTTAATAGTATTAAGGGAGGAAACATTTAAAAGTATACTATGAGTCAGGGCATAAACTGAGAAAACTGCAAGCCTATGTATGTCATGAACAGTTCACTTTAAGGGATTACGTATATCTAAAAGTAAACACTGGTAAAGATGAATCCCAACAATAATAGTATTATCAAAAATATCTGGACACAAATATCTGGACATGAAGAGAATATGCTACCAGCAACTAATGGGTTAAGTTAACAAACAGCCTAGAATGCAAATCATAAATAATAGATCTTTAAAAAGATACCTATTCTAGCTACAGCAGCTATTTGTCACCAGTGGGCCACAGACAAAGCACTTTGCTCGCGCCAAGAAAAGAACATTAGAAAATTGTGTCTAAAACTGATCAGGCAAATTAAGGAGAAGTTCTACTGTTAACAATATGCTTTATTTTAATTATCAACGGGCCATTTTTTAAAAAGTAATTACATTTCTAATTACTGCTGATCCTTGCCATTCTTTTATTGTACTACTGCCAAATAAACAATGTTTCTTTAGAATTCTAAATACTAGACAAGGCATCGAGAATGGAAGCTACTTTACATTTAGAACAGAGAACTGAATGGATTGGATGTTCAGAATTTTTTTCAGAACTTCGCTACAATTATTTATGGCACAAATACCACAAATACCAGAATTAATGTTCCTCTCCTCTGCAATTCTGTCCATCAAACCTTTAACAGACGAATAGGTGAAGAATACATTCAAATGTCAAATCACACTAATGTTGAAAGTTTTAAATACATTTTATTTATTTGTATTTTAAGCAGCGCATAGCATTTCAATCTGAAAATGTCAAGTTTAAAGGCTATAGTACATCCTGGGGTGCACAAATTATATAATTCAGTAACGAGATGACATAGTTAAACTTATGGAAAACAATTATTAAATATAAGCAGTTATTACAAGTATGATTAGATTGTAGATACAGATAGTTTGATATTTTCAAGGAGTTTAAACTATTGGAATATTTTAGGTTTTCGGGAAAGTTATTCTTTAGCTGCAGAACTCCGTAAGAGGTTCACCAGTCTGCCTCCTTGTTGGAATATGAACCCTAATTGGCTTATTCACTAAAATGAAAATTGTGACATGTCATGATTCCATTTTATTCCAGAAGTTTGGTCCTTAAGGGGTTAAAGGCCTGAAAGGCCTGAACTGGAAATATTCTCCAAGTCAGTTATGTTGCCACTTCCCCTACTTTGGCCTCAAACTTTAAATGTACTGTGAATTTTTCTTGAATTACTGGGATGGAATTACTTTTTCTAGTGACTGGGCAGCAATGACTACCCAGTCGCTGGTTTTTAAAGGGACACTTTAGTCACCAGAACAACTATAGCTTATTGCATTTGTTCTGGTGAGTAGAATCATTACCTTCAGTTTTTTTTGCTGTAAACACTGTCTTTTCAGAAATGGTAGGGTGGGGGTTCCATGTGTTTTGGAGGTACTTTTGGGATATTGTAAAATGTATGTTTTTTGTACCTGGAGATAGTTTAGTACAGTTCCTTATAACTGATATATGGAGTAAAACAATCTCAAACACCTAGGTGGAGATCCCCAAAACCACACTCAAAGATTTAACATACATAAGTTGGAGCAAGTTTCTTTGAATGTATCCTGTAAGGGAGATTTATAAATAGATAGTGCAATAAAGTTAAACACAAATAATAAAGCTTTGATTTGAGTGATTTTACTGACAAGCGAGGAGCCAATGATCTAATTTGGCTATGATGGTATGGGCAGATGGACACTTTAAAACATATCCAACTCCTTTCTTCTGTGGCTGAATACGTTCTTCCTCCACCTTGTATCCAATTCAAGGTTCCTTTATTTTCATGCATTTCAAAGTAATAGAAAAATAATATAAAATAATATAGCTTGATACATTAAAGTGCTTGAAAGTGCATTTTGTGGTAATCCAATGACAGTCTACAATCTTAGGTAACAGTTCAAAATGCGTTTCGCCCACTCTGTTGGGCTTCCTCAGTTGGCATGATGTCTCTCCGGTTCTCTTTCCCTTTCGA